GTAAAATACAACACGCTGATCGTTCCTTATAAACACGTCAGCCCCTCAGTGGTCACTGCCCACTGCGGTCCCACCAAGTTTGGGAGAGGCTGCGCACACACCACGTCTGTGGGGCCTCCTGAATGGAGTCTAGCCTAGATATTTTAGCAAACATGGAAATACCTGGTCCACATCAAATTACTCCACCATATATATTATGTTTTTGGTTTTTCTGAGTCGTCCATATCAATGAACTTCGTGCTACAAAGGAGGACAAACGTACCAAAGGACTGTGTCACTCCTTTTCCAGAAGCCACCTGTTTACACCATCACCACCTATCCTTCCATCTTCCAAACTCGGATCACCGTGTGCCTTTGTTTAACCAAATGGCAGAGGCCAGAGAGGGAGTTTTGGATGAGAATCATAAGCTACATTTAGTGAGCACGTCCTATGGGTCACGTGGCTCCTGCGGATTGTACTGAAGCCTCGTAACGCCTGGAGATGTACTGCTGTTCTCCCCACTTCACAGACGAGCAACGCGGGGTGAGGAGGTCAGGCCGCCCGAGGTCACACAGGAGCACAGAGACTGTGTTCTGAAACTTCCACACACTGCCTCAGGGTGGTCTTTTATTTACTTTTATCATAAAATTGTTCAAGATAAAAACCGTATGTCCTAGTACATTTGGAAGGTCTAGTAAAGTGGATACTCACACACCCACCTCCCAGCTTCAGATGAAGGTCATTACCCACCTGCCACCTGGGGCAGCCCTGTCACCATCCTACCGACACCCGCTCCGCTTCACCCACTGGATTCAGTGCCGCACACAAAGGCACACTTAGTTTCCTTAGAAAAACAAAAAACCCTCCTTATGCCAGTGGTTCTTAATATCATAGGGACAGACCCCTTTGGGCATCTTATGAGGGCAATGGACCTATATAGCCCAGAAAAAATGTCACACACATAAAACTCTGCCGTGTTTCAACGTTTCACAGATCTGCTAAAGCCAGAGTGACCACATAACTTACCATTCAAAGCAGGGCACTCTGTGGGGACAAGGGGACTCTTCAGTACTGACACTGAGATAACGGATGTCAGCTGAGGCCATCCTGGGCAAACGGTGGTGTAATGACCTCACTGTGACTTCATCCCTGGACTCTCGTATCCAGAACCTTCTCCTCCAGTTATATGGCCCACTCACCGTCCTCATCATGATCCCATCTTGATGGTGTGGCTATGACACCCCTACCTGAATGTGATGAGGTCTCTAGGTTGGGCATGGAGCACAGTATAAATGCTAATTAATCAATACTTACCCATCCATTAGGATTTACCTGAAATTTCACCTCTGCTGTCAAGTCTTCTGACTGTATCATGTGCTGCTAGCATGTCCTGCCTGGGATTCCATAGTGGCTCAGAGCACACGCTCTGGAGCCGCCAACCCAGATTTCAACCTGGCCTGGCCACTCACTAGCTGTGTGACTTTGGGCAAGTTACTTAACCTCTCTGGGCACCGATTTTTCTGTCTCCCTCATAGAGTTGCTGCAAGGAATAAATGAGTTCTTATTTGTAAAGTGTTTAAGAACAGTATTTGGCACACAGTAGGAGCTGCAGAAGTGTTAGCTCTTACTGTTATCTCAAGGCAATACCCTTGTCGAATGTCCATCTAAAAAAATAGCTCTAAAAAGCCCTTCCCAATGCTATGCACACAGTGGGCGTTCAGAAAATACTTCGTAGTAGGTATTTCCAACAAAGGTGCTGAGAGGGTCACGGATCAGGGGCTGGAAGCTGACGGCCTCTGGCTCCTGCAGTTCAGCTTGTTTACAAAGGAGTCTGCCTGGAGCTGAACAAAGGACCAGAGCTGGGGTCTACGGGCTCCTCCTCTTCGCTGCCCCAGATCAACGTGTTCCCCAGCCCAGTTCCTGAGCTACAGGTGGGACACAGCAGATGGCCCAGTGCTTTCACACTGTCTCCTCTGATCCTCACAAAAGGGCAGGTGGAGCTGGCAGGGCAGATGATGACCCCACTCTGACGTGCGGAAATGGAGACCCAGAGGGCAGAGTGACCTGCCGAGTTCAGAGGTTGCGCTCCTGAGAGGCGCCTCACAGGAAGGTGGGAATTAACAAGGCTTAGATTTTATTGTGATATGTTATGTACTATAATCCTATTTAGCGTTTAAAATAGAGAGTTCTGTTGCTAAAATGATGTTTGAAATCACTGTTCTAATCTCAACCCTCATTGCTATTCTCTCAAAGGAGAAAACCAAGAAAAAAGACTCAGTGCTTCCCGTTAGCAGCGCAGAATCCCCGTGACACTTCAGCCCTCCACACTCCCGCCCCAGCCTCCTTCCCGGCCGGGTTCCGCAGGCACTCTTCCCTCACCAGCAACACCCAGCCGCCAGGATGCCGTTCCCTGAACTGCCCTTCCCGTCCTTCTCCCTGCTGCCTGAATCTGCACGCCCCCTCCTCCTCCACTCCCCTCTTCGCCCAGATGTGACCACCCTTCAAGGCCCACTGCTCTTTAGTTCTATTTCTGGCTTTAGCACAACCACACTGGTTGCCTATTAGACTTCTTGTGTGTCAGTCCCCTCCGTGACACTGGAAGGACCTAATGGCACATACTTAGTCTGCTCTGTATTGCCAGATATGGCAAGAGCACAGCAAGTCCTCACTACACGCTGATGGAACCACAGGCCCATCACAAGATCTCAACACACCCACACCACATGATGGGACACTTGTCCCTTCTCCTTTGTTAAAATGATAAAAAGCATGTTCCAGGGGCCGGTCCAGTGGTGCAGTGGTTAAGTGCACATGTTCTGCTTCGGCGGCCAGGGGTTCGCTGGTTTGGATCCCGGGTGTGGACATGGCACCGCTTGGAACGCCATGCTGTGGCAGGTGTCCCACATATAAAGTAGAGGAAGATGGGCATGGATGTTAGCTCAGGGCCAGTCTTCCTCAGCAAAAAGAGGAGGATTGGCGGCAGATATTAGCTCAGGGCTAATCTTCCTCAAAAACAAACAAAGCATGCTCCAACACACAGGCACAAGACCTGCCACAGACAATTTCACTAGAGAAGGGCTGCTCCATCAAAACAGCCACAGGACATGTTTTCCGCGATTTCTCCTGAGATGAATAGTGCCCTGGGTACTCCAGGATGGTACTTATGCTCTCACTTTTTCATCATCACGTTATTTTACAGGATTTTATGTGTACATACACATTCAGAACTGATCCAAGATTTTTTAAAAACAGAAAATTACACAGAAATCCATACTAAGTAACTCTCTAAATGAAGGAAAATCGACAATTGAGGGTCTAATTCTTGATGTAATATATTTACTTAATTAAAACAACTGTATTAAAATATATCTACAGTACCCCTGTTACCAATTGCCTTGTTCCCCTTAAAAACTCACAGCAAAATTGCAGTAAAGTTAAACGTATATTTCTTAGTTTAAGAGACCTCAGGAATCCAATGACAAACTCCTCAATGTAACAGGCAGCTGTGACTGAGGAGGCCAGCTCCTGGACAGAAGCTATGTGTGATCCTTCAGCCCCAAACACAGGCACTCACAAAGGCAGGCGCTCCCAGCAGGCCTCACAGGGAAGCCGCCCTCCCGCCCCCGAGCTGGTGACAGCCAGCGCCTGGCAGTCCGAGCGCGCTGCAGGAGGACCCGGCGCCTCTGCCCTGCCTGCTCTTCTGCGCTCCGCCTTCCCCGCCTGGCTGCCTGGCACCTGCACCCTGAAGCCTCTGTGTCTGCTCCCTCGGGCTCCTCTGCTGAGGCCTCCTGGGCAGGGGAACACTTTCTCCAGTTTAGTGTCTTGCTTAGACTATCGAAATAAGTGATTACAGACTTGACTATTACTTTCATTCGGCTTGCTTTTTTTTTCAGCTTTATTGAGGTATAATTGACAAAGTCGGAATATATTTAAAGTGTGCTAGGTGATGATTTGATAAACATCAACAATGCGAAAGGACTCCCACCATCAAGTTCATATAGTTGCTCATATAGTTATGTTTTGTTCTTTTTTGGTGAGAATGCTTAAGATGTACCCTTTTAGCAAATTTCAATTATACGATACAGTATTATCAACCATAGGCACCATACTATATGTTAGATCTTCATAACTCACTCATCTTATAACTGAAAGTGTGTCCCCAACTTGGAGGGCATTATGCTATGTGAAATAAGCCAGACAGAGAAAGGCAATTACTGCACGGTGTCACTTATAGGTAGAATCTTAAACAAACAAACAAACAAGTTGAACTCATAGAAACAGAGAGTAGACTGGTGGCTGCCAGGGGCTGGGTGTGGGGGAAACTGGCTTGTTGTTTGAATTAGCTTCTTGGACACCTGGCAGTGTAGCCCTCTCCAGCTTGGCTGAGCTCCTGACAAAGACACTCAACTTGAGGCCAGCCTGGTGGTGCAGCAGTTAAGTGCGCACGTTCCGCTTCTCAGTGGCCCAGGGTTTGCCAGTTCGGAGCCGGGGTGTGGACATGGCACCGCTTGACAAGCCATGCTGTGGTAGGTGTCCCACATATAAAGTGGAGGAAGATGGGCATGGATGTTAGCTCAGGGCCAGCCTTCCTCAGCAAAAAGAGGAGGATTGACAGTAGTTAGCTCAGGGTTAATCTTCCTCACAAAACAAAAAAAAGTTAGCAGATTGGGGAGTTAAAAAAAAAAAAAAAAAGAAGAAGAAAAAGACACTCAACTTATTTCATTCTTCTGAACAAGCACTCTCATCTCTCAATTTTGAAAAATCCCTTACAACAACTGCCATATGGGAAAACAACAGAATCAGGAGGAATGAGTTCCAGTCTAGTTCCATCATTAAATTAGCAATGTAGCTCTGGTAGGTCACTTAATTTTAGGTGGTGGGCCTTCATGTCTGCAAACTAAGGTTATTTGACTAGATTTTGCTGAATGTTCCTTTCAGGTCTAATATGCCAAGATTCTATGAATTATGCTTCTAAACTATTTTCTGAAAAAGTTTAAAAAATAAAGCAGGAGACGGAAGCTAAACATTTTTAAAAATTATTTTTAAAAGGTGACTTTTACAAAGCAGCACTTAAAAATAAATCACCTCACAACACACATGCCTGATAGTGTTGCCCTCACATGGGCCTGCAAATGTTTACCGTGCGTCTGCACGTGCCAGGCACACACCCGCAGCGTTTCCTTCCCTGTGAAAACTTAGCGCTTCTTCCAGGTGAACTTTCTGCGGGCTCCCTCTTGGCCTGGCTTCTTCCGTTCTCTGACACGTAGATCAGCAGTAAGTAGTCCAGCTGCAGCGTAAAAAGAGAAGCCTTTATGAGCCACGGAACATGCAAGTTGCCTAGCAGGAGAAAAGGTCAACTGCATGAATTTATAGGTACCGTTGTCAGAGAAAAACTAGAGGAGAGCAACCAGACCTGTACTAACTTACCAGCCCGCTATAAATCTCCTGACAGCACTTTGCTTTCACTGTTTTAGAATATTTTTCCAATTTCTGAGACCAACTGCAGCTACGTTATTTGAGTTTGCTTTCCTCATCCTATGAAAACTGATTCCTCTTTGGTTTTTAACCTGCTCAACTTAAGATAAAGCTGCTCTTGTGTGGGCAGTCACTATTCACTGGAATGGAACTTCTCTGCCTACTTGTTATGACAGTCGTGAAAGTCAGAATAGAGACAAGAGGTAGAAAAGAGATGCTTAGTGTCTGGTGAAGTATGAGGAAGTACACAGACACCATATATTAATAGTATTCATTAATATATATGCACATAAAATATGGCTTATCAAACATATTTGAGGAAAAAAGCTTTTATCATTCTAATTTGTGTGACAATACTATCCCTTGGTATTTTGTTTCAGAACCTAAAAAATTAATTTTAGGGTTATATTCTCTGCATAAACAGTTTAATCTAGAAGAAGAAAGTCAGCTTAAACTGGAAGCTTCCATCTCCTAATCACCAGGAGCAATCATGATTTCTAGGCTTTGCCAGGGTAGTCTCAGCACACAGCCCAAATGGAGCAGCCCCATCGTGGCTGGAGCCATAGCATGTTACTAAAGACCACAGATGCCAGGACGCCAGTGATGAGAAAGCTCTGAAACTGCTTTTGTAAACATGTAAATAGACCGCAGTTTTTCATTGTTTTTTCTTTACTCTTGCAACACTAGCACTCCTTTGCATTGTATACAAGACTTAGGTATTTTATTAGGGATCTTTTAATGGCTATACAGCAAAGGCAAACTTCAAATGCTTATTATATACCCATAATTTTTGTATTTACTTACACTTGAGGGTATGGAATAAAAAACAATATTTTGGACAAAATGCAGACAAAACCTGTCTAAATTCTAGTTTAAATTATAAGTAATAGGCTGGTGTTAAGATGGCGGTGTAGGCAGACTCTGAACTCACCTCCTCCCACGGACACAACAAATTTACAACCACTCTTAGAACAATGACCCGAGAGAGAACTGAAAACTGGAGAAGAAGAACCCCCACAATAATGGACAGTCCTGACTGACGTGGAAGAGACAGAAACTCCTTATGAAGACAAAAAAAGCCACATTCGCAAGCCATGGTGCTTCATGGCTGGCTGGGAGCAACCATAAGGTACGCAGCCTTCCCCGGAGGGTAGGCATCCTGAGCAGGAGAGTGTTACTACTATAAGCAGCTGTTGGACTCAGCACAACCAAGATGAGAGTCATAATATCTGGCTTTGCTGGCTACTAACAACAATGGGGAATACCACCAGAAAAGCTATCGACGTAAGGGGAAAAAGCTGGTTCTTAAAGGGCCCACACACAAATTCACCTATTTCGGAAAGCAACCTAAAATCACCAGAAAGAAAGATGCATGGTCCTTTGATGAAAAGAGACTCACCTGATAGGCTCTGGGACATCTTGGTGAGAGGTGCGATCCCTCCAGGGACTGAGATATTGGTGGCAGCCATTACTGTGACCTAGTATAGGCATCTGACACAGACGCCATTGGAGCTCTTCTCCTGGCCTATAAGCCCACGGTCTGTGCCACCCACTAGAGCACTGATTTAACCCAGCTCAGCAGGGCAGGCAGCCTGCCCTAGGGACTGGCCCCAACCAACAGCAAGCCCTCAGGCTTTTGGGCCTGCACAGGCTGGGTGCCTGGATCCTCCACAGCCAGGACAGAACTGTGTCTGCTCTGAGTGGCAGGGCACACATGAGGAGTAGGTGGAGTGGGGCGTTGGTGGAGCCTCTGCAGTAGGGCCACTGGGTCCACTTCAGGGGGTTGGGGCATGCGCACAGGGCAGGACTGTGTTGACGGTGTGAGTGGCCCTGTGGGTGGTGGGACTTGTCAGCTGCAGCAGTCGTGTGCTTCTCAAACAGCCACACAAGAGATTGGCCCCACCTTGCAAAACCTGAAACAATTGGGTGCTTCTGTGCCTGGGGCCAGCCGCACTCAGCTGCAATCCTAAGAGCTGACGACAGCCTTGCAGGCTGGAGGCCTACTCACTTAACAGAAAAACTGCAACAGGAATGTGCTATTAGACCTTGCAGCCAACTATGGCCAGGGCTCCCCATGCCTGATAAAGTGACTGAAGAGCCCATAACAGCCCCATGCAGCTGAGCATTACAACCAACCAGCTGGGGGGACAGCTTAGCCTCCTCAGGCACCTGCAGCAAGACCAAACCGGCCACAACAGAAGGACACATGTAGTCCACACAGGGGACACTCCTGGAACATTTGGAACTGGTGATGAGAGGCAAGCACACTGCTGGGCCTCATAAGGCATCTCTTACATAAGGCTACCTTTCGAAGATCAGGAGACGTAGCTGACCTACCTAATACACAGACATCAGCACAGAGAAAGAGGCAAAATGAGGAGGCAAAGGAATACATTCCAAGTAAGGGAACAGGACAAGACCCCAGAAAAAGAATTAAATAAAGGAGAAATTAACAATCTACCTGACAAAGAGTTCAAACAGAAAGTCATAAGGATGCTCACTGATCTTGGGAGAAGAATGGATGAACTCAATGAGAATGTCAACAAAGAATTGGAAGATATAAAAAAGAACCAATCAAAAATGAAGAATACAATACTGGAAATGTAAAATTCACTAGAAGGATTCAATAACAGAATAGATGAAACAGAAGAATGGATCAGCCAGCTTGAAGAAAGACTAGAGGAAATCACCCAAGCTGAACAGATAAAAGAAAAAGAACGAGAACAGTGTAAGGGACATCTGGGACAACCTCAAGCGTACTAACAGTCATATTACAGGTATCCCAGAGGTAGAAGAGAGAAACAAAGGGGCAGAGAATCTATCTGAAGAAATAAAAGCTGAAAACTTCCCTAAGGAAGGAAACACACATCCAGGTAGAGGAAGCACAGAGAGCACCAAACAATTTAAACCCAAAGAGGCCCGCACCAACACACATTATAATTAAAATGTCAATAACTACAGATAAAGAGAGAATCCTAAGAGCCACAAGAGAAAGGCAACAAGTCACATAAAAAGGAAACCCCATAAAGCTATCAGCAGACTTCTAAGCAGAAACCTTACATGCTAGAAGGGAGGGGCAACATATATTTAAAGTGCTGAAAGGAAAAAACCTACAGCCAAGAATACTCTAGCCAGCAAGGTTATCATTCAGAATGGAAGAAGAGATGAAGTTTCCCAAACAAGTAAAAATTAAAGGAGTTTATCACCAAGAAATCAATCTTACAAGAAATGCTAAAGGGACTTATTTAAGTGGGAAAGAGAAGACCACAAATAGGAAGATGAAAAGTATGAAAAAAAAAGCAATAAAATCACTGGTAAAGGCAAAAATATAGTAAAGGTAGCAGATCAACCACCTATGAAGATACTATGAAGGTGAAAAGACCAAAGTACTAAAATTACCTATTTCCATGATAAGAGGGTAACGGATACACACACACACACACACAAAGAGGTTAGATATGATATCATAAACATAAAATGTGGGAGGAGGGGAGTAAAAGAGTAGAGCTTTTAGAAAGAGGTCAAACTAAAGACACCATCAACTTAATATAGACTGCTATGTAGGTTTTTATATATGAACTTCATGGTAATCACAAACCAGAAACCTATAATAAATACACAAAAACTTAAGAGAAAGGACCCCAAACATAATACTAAAGAAAGCCATCAAATAACAAGGGAAGAGAGCAAGAGAAGAAGAAAGGAACAGAGAAGAACTATTGAAACATCTAGAAAAAAACTAACAAAATGGCAATAAATACATATTTCTCAATAGCTACTTTAAATGTCAATGGACTGAATGCTCTAATCAAAAGGCATAGAGTGGCCAATTGGATAAAAAAACACAACCTATATATATGCTGCATACAAAAGACACACTTTAGACCTAAAGATACTCACAAACTGGAAGTGAAGAGATAGAAAAAAAGATACTCCATGAAAATAGCAAAGAAAAGAAAGTGGGGGTAGCAATACTTATATCAGACAAAAACTTTAAAACAAAACTGTAAAAAGAGACAAAGAAGCACACTACATAATGAGAAATGGAACAACCCAACAAGAGGATACAATGCTTGTAAATATCTATGCACCCAACATAGGAGCACCTAAATACATAAAGTAATTATTAACAAACATAAAAGGTGAATAGATAGTAACACAATAACAGTGAGGGACTTTAACACTCCACTTACACCAATGGATAGACCAGTCAAACAGAAGATTAATAACGAAAGATTGGCCTTAAATGACACTTAGACCAGATGGACTTAGTAGATACGTACAGAACATTCCGTCCCAAAACTGCAGAACACACACTCTTTTCAAACGCACAAGGAACATTCTCCAGGACTGATCACCTATTAGGCCATAAAGCAGGTCTTGATAAATTTAAGAAGATTGAAATAATACAACAGTATGAAACTAGAAATCAACGACAGGAAGAAAATCAAAAAAGCCACAAATTTGTGGATAGTAAACAAAATGCTACTGAACAATGATTGGATCAATGAAGAAATCAAAGGAGAAATAAAAAAATACTTGAAAAGAAATGAAAATGAAAATACAACATGCCCACATCTATGGGATACAGCAAAAGCAGTACTAAGAGAGAAGTTTATATCAATACAGGCCTACCTCAACAAACAAGAAATCTCAAATAAAAAATCTAACAGTGCACCTAAAGGAAATGGAAAAAGAAGAACAAACAAAGCGCAAAATCAGTAGAAGGAAGGAAATAATAAAAATCAGAGCAAAATAAAAGAGACAAAAAAACCCCAGAAAAACATCAGTGAAACCAACACCTGATTCTTTGAAAGGATAAACAAAATTGACAAACCTTCAGCTAGACTCACCAAGAAAAAAAGAGAGAAGGTACAAATAAATAAAATCAGACATGAAAGATAAGTTAAATGGACACCTCAGAAATACAAAAGATTATAAGAGAATACTATGAAAAGCTATAGGACAACAAACTGGATAATCTAGAAGAAATGGATAAATTCTTAGAATCATACAACCTTCCAAAAACTGAATCAAGAAGAAATAGAGAATTTGAACAGATCAATAACCAGTAAGGAGATGGAAACAGTAATGAATTCCTCCCCAAAAATAGAAGTCCAGGACCAGAGAGCTTCCCTAGTGAATTCTACCAATTCATTCTAAGAACTTGAAAACACAAATGTGTAAAGATACATGCATCCCTATGTTCACTGAAGTATTACTGCCAATAGCCAAGACTTGGAAGCAACCTAGGTGCCCATCAAGGGACGAACGGATAAAGAAGATGTGGTATATATACACAATGGAATATGACTCAGCCATAAGAAACAATGAAATCAGGCCATTTGTGGCAACATAGATGGACCTTGAGGGTATTATGCTGAGTGAAGTAAGTCAGAGGGAGAAAGTCAAATACCGTATGATCTCATTCGTAAGTAGAAGACACAAACAACAAAAAACAATCACATAGAGACAGAGAGTGGATTGGTAGTTACCAGAGAGAAGTGGGAAAGGAGGAGGGCAAAAAGGGTGATTATGCATATGTGTGTCGTGACGGACTGTAATTAGTCTTTGAGTGGCAAACATGATGCAATCTACACGGGAATTGAAATATAATCATGTACACCTGAAATTTATATAACATTATAAACCAATGTTACTGCAATGAAAATAAATTATAAGTAATACTTTACTACTTTTCAATATACACAGTCACTCAAACTAGTAGAATTGTTATGTAAGATCCTATCAAATTATTTTAATGACCAGATATGAATCCCACAAAACGGTGAATTGTTTATAAGCAAATGGATTTTTAAGAGGCTTAAAAAATTGAGGAGCCTAAGCCAGAGGTGGCATTGACCCCAGCGGCTGGTGTGGGAGGGCAGGGGGCGGAGAGACCATCTTACTTGCCCAGAAAGCGGCTGCGGGGCCAGCGGTAGTAACTGACTGGTGCAGGCCACACAGCTGATTAGCAGCACCCACAGCGCTGTCTTCCCTTCATAAAGAGTGCGAAGGTCATCTTTAGCTAGAGCTGCCCTGATTTATTATGACTGCTAAAGCAGCGCCCTAATGAACAACCTGAGCGCATCTTCCTCCTCACATTGCACAACCTCTCGTATTCACAATGGGGTGACAGGGACAAAGTAAGTAGGAGAACGTAAAACATGAGCTAACGTTCACAATGGAAAAACAGAAATCTCAGATAATTTTGGAAAGAAATACCTTAAGAGCTTCATCATTAAATAACTACAACTTTCTATGATAAAACAAAAACCACCAATTCATCTGTTAAACATAACTGAGCACTACTTGTTAACCTAAACAAAAGGCTATGCCTTAAAGGCCAAAATAAACTTTCTGATGTTGGGAGTGCTTCCGTTTTCTTCTTCTAAGTGAAGTTCACTTTGTAGAAATCAAAACTGAAAAATACTGTTACAGTTCTGGAGCATGAAAAGAGGAGCCCGCAAACCAGCATACTGCACGTTCAAGTGTCTTCTCACTGATTTCAGGTAACCAGAACAAGAGTCAGATAAACACTCAGGGACAGCATGAGAACAACCATGCCCCCCGACTCCACTCATACCTTGCCTCATCCACTCGACCTCTTCCTCGGTGACCAAGGTGCACAAGGCTCTCGCCACGGCCAGGCGTATGGCTCCGGCCTGCGCCGCCCGCCCGCCGCCCGAGACCGTGCAGGCCACGTCGTGTTTTCCGAGCCGGTCAAGGAAGTGAAAAGGGAACATCAACTGTTCTCTAAAGCACATCACAAGAAAACGTAGTTGAGTTTACTGTAACAACACACGATTTTATAAACTGCTCACATTCTGAACATTCACAAAAACCATACCATGCATGCCAGCGTGCATACTTTCCAATCAATCCACTATGACACTTTTCATACTTCTTGATCAATCCATTATATGAAGAACACTGATATTTCTGATATTTAGAATGCTTTGCTGAGAGAAGGTTTATTCCTCTTTTTCTTGGAGATCGCAATATACTCTCTGTTGATTTCTTTATCTCATGAGAACTTCGTGAGGCTTGGAAATAACCTTGTAAAGAAGTCTTAAAGTTGGGAAGCTCCATTAATCAACCAAATCTAACCTCTCTGGATTCAATAATCACATATAATATTAATAAGCTTTCCCAAGCAATTATTAAATGCCATTTGGATTCACTAAATAAAGTGTACTATATTTGTATAACGTATATATATGCTCATCCTGACATGCTTACTTTTTAAAGTTACTAAAACCACATTCAACTTTTTTTTCCCCACTGAAATACGCACTCCTATTAACAGTTCTCTAGGTTGCAGAGTCCTGCTACTTGCCTGGTGCCAGGTGACACGCTGCACAACCCATCATGCCTGCTTCCCTCCACAGTCAGCTAGTGCCCATGTAGTCCCAGGCAGACACCTCAGGGCCAGAGAAATAACACAGACAGAACATGGCCCCGGACCTCCTCTCGCTCAACGGAACAAGTATTTGTTGAACACCGTTTATGTGCCAGGTACAGTATTCATCATTACCTTTATCAAGTACTTTGATTTTGCTACTTTGCCTTAATATTTCTGAATTTTTATTTAGACAAGTCGGTTTATATTGCATTTCCTTGCTTTGTCTGACACTCTCGCTTTCTAGACCCGAAATAGAGCTTACTCTAACACAGTGAAACTGAAAGAGGGGTATGGGCAAGACATTCAAGCGTTACTCCTTGGATTATGCTAGCAAAATAGTCACATGCGATAGATGGACAGAACAAGACCTTTGAAGGGCATGGTTAATTGGAATTTGTAACAATACTGTTTCAATAGGAACATTGTTTCAATACGGATGAACCACTCCTACAACAACAAAAAGTAGTGGTATGAAATGACATAAATCTATATGGCTTTTTTGAACAAATGTTTCAAAGCAACCAAATCAAAAATAGGAACACTATAAAAATAGTACTATTGTAAGTAATATTATCATCATAAAAAAATTTAGAAGTTGATAATCAAATTCCACCATTTCCTTTTACCAGCAAAGAAATAGGGGCCAAGACAGAATCTATGGGATTGTCACATGCACGTGTCACAGGCCTCTGCATCAACAGTTACCAGAGTTAAGTGGGTTAGTGACATACGTGATGTTACGAAGAAAAGCTCTGGTCACCCACTTGTTTGTGAGCTTAAACATTTATCTGTCTTAATTACTAAAATTTTAAGATTCCCCAACAAGTGCTGATATAAATAAACTTACACTGACTTGAGATGTATCAGAGTAAGTGAGCTAGAGTCGTCAAGGTAAGAAAGAACCACTAAGAAGAGTCTGGACAGTTGGGAAGTTGGTATACACTGAGGTACAACACTAAATTTATAAATAGGTGAAAAAGTCCCAAAGTGTAACAATCAAAAATGATTATATAGCTATTGATTTTAATTACCTGGACTACAAACTAGTACATGCAAAAATGGTCACATGGCATCAAAATATTGCACATACATCTCTCAAGGACCTCAGATGAAATCCCGAGTTAAAAGAATCAAATGTATTTTGTTCTTTGTTATATAATCAAAGTATTTTTGAAAAATAAAATAAAATAAATAACCAAGTTCCCCATTTCTATCTTCTCTGAAGGCTACTTCTATGGTACCAATTCTACAGCATGTAATGTAGCACACGTATAGTTGCATATTCTCTTTTATTTTTCTACAATTGCTTAAAGTGTAACCTTATCTCTATTACACGGCTAGTGCTGTGTGAGGAATGTATTTATTTTTGTACAGATCATCAATTAAGACTTGCTATACTCGTTGACTGACAGAGCAAAGGCCTTTCCGAATCAGAGAGGTTATTAATCTTTGTATTCCCAAGTACCAGGCCCACAGTAATGAATGTTTGTTGCATAAGTGAAAGAATGAATAAAAATTCTCAATGATGCCGGGAAGGCAACAAAGTGAACATCCCCAATGATCTGTTGCTATGTTTGTATAAAAACAGCCTAAAGAAATGATGAGTAAGCAGTTCAACTGACTTGCAGGCAAGCATCTTAGAGATCAAGTTCAAATCTCTCCTACCAATTAGGGAAGAGACCTTTAAGCAACCTGGCTAAGGTCACACAGCCAGCAAACAGAACTAGAATCAAGATCTCCTGACTCCTGGTTCAGTAGTCCTCCTACTGGTCAGTGGTCACCTCACCGCTAACCTCCCGAGCTGCTCCTGCGGGAAGAAAGGCCAGTCCACAGCTAACATGGCCGCCCAAATCCCTACAACTACACAAAGATGACAAGGCAGTCTGGGTGCCCACTCCCACCAAGCCCAGCCCAAGGCTTCCCAGTCAGATAGGAAATTTCTTGATGATAGAAACTGGATCTTAAATAGCTCTGATATCTTCACAACACCCAGGACAAGAGCGGGCACAGACAGCCTACCCTTACTAAATGCCTGTTGAATTCAAACGGGGTAAGTTCTAAGCACATAATTTAATTGTGAGATCAAGTCACAACTGAGACTTGGTGTTAAGTCATCAGATGTATCTGAAAACAAGTTGACAGGTTATTGGTCAAATTCCATTCCTCCTAGCAGTCCCCAATGCTGCAGTTATGGATCTCTGGCTTTTCACAAAGGAAATAAGAGCCTCCTCCATCTGTTTCCCTGTGAGGATGATGGCAGAATTCGTTTAATTCCCATTAAATGGAATTAGAGTAGACTACTTCTTGACACACACACACAAATAAAATAAACATATATTTCGTGAAGTAATTGTTCTGTTCAAAACCTTACACTACATTAGCAAGGTCCTCTTTTCCTGACATAAGCATTGGGATCCTAAGAGCTTTACCCCTTTTGATCTTAAATACCACTACACATTCAGAGGACAGGAGAAGGAGTAGGAAAGGAGGAATAATCATGCAGAACTTCTGTGACCGTGGATAATGACAGTAACTACAGGAAAAACAATCACCATCCCAAGAAGAGGTCTTCACATAGTGACTCACAAAGAGACCTAAGATGAGTATATTTAGAAGATTTGAATGGTCATACCCATTTATGATTAAAGTCTATTTCTCCATGGGATACAAAGTTCAAAAAATAAAACTGCCATATTTAGCACTAGGAACTAGCCAACGCCTGATGAGCTCTTATTTTAATGCATAAATGTCAGGTTTCTTTGCTTGTTCAGTATATACATAGTTGATCTCCTCTGAACAGGAAAAGTCCAAAGCGATGAAGTATTTTCCTAGCCTTTAAGATGGTGAGGGCCAAGATGGGTGTGTGGTGGCAGTGTTTTGTGCATGCCCACCCTAAACTCGGGAAACAGAAAGTGGAAATCTGATTTTCTTACATTTTGGCATAGTCTGCATTTCAGAACATAAGGTACATCTAAAATACTCAAATTCCAGAAGGATCTTATGAAAAGAGGAGGAATATTCAATTAATGAGGAATTCTAAAGATGCTTTTTAAAAATCTGGAAAACTACTCGGGGCTGGCCCCGGGGCATAGTGGTTAAACTCGCAGGCCCCACTTCGGTGGCCTGGGGTTTGCGGGTTCATGCTGCGTAGGTGCTCCACATACAAGACAGAGGAATACTGACATGGATGTTAGCTCAGCGACAATCTTCCTCAAGCAAAAAGAGGAAGATTGGCAACAGATGTTAGCTCAGGGCAAATCCTCCACCAAAAAAAAAAAATCTGGAAAACCACATAAAAAATAGTGATAGCATCCCTCTAGCTAGTTTGATAAATTCTATTGGTAAAGAGAAATAACCATTCAGAAAATCACAAGTCTTAATTGATCATAATGTATCATAAAGTATATTTTCTTTAAAAACAAACAGCCAAAAGCAAAACCCAACCTGTCCTGGGTCACAGGGAAGTAGAGCAGGTAGTCGGTGCCGTTCACGCTGACCCTCCCGCTGCCGTGAGCGTACACAACTGCTTCTGCCTCTGCGCTCTTCCTTCTACCTTTAAAACAGAAAGTTTCTATTAGTAAAATTCCTAACAACCAATGCTCTGAGACAGGTGAAACTGCATCCCATCTTTTCCCCAGAATAACAATATAGCACACTGTCTATAGGAAAGGTCTGTAACAACTACAAGTGGAACAAAAATGAAAGGGGTAAACGACACCATAATCGATGTCATAAAGCTTACCAGGAGGTAATTTTATTCTTCAATTCCATTTTAGGAAAACTACAATGATTTTAAATTAGTCTTAACAAGCAACAAAGTAATCCATATTTATTTACATTACTTGAATAAAATCAACCAATTTACATAGCATCCTTTCATATTCAATAAGAATATATCCAATCATATAATTTTTAAAATATATGAATAGTATGATAAAATATAACTGATAGAAATGAAAGGAATCCTCAGGAAAGGTCATATTTCTTTGAAAACACTGAAAATGAGAAAGGAATGATGTTAAATTTTGAAGAGTTGTAGATTATCATTTAGTAAATCAATTCTTAAGTTACACCACATCAGATGTCTGTAGACCTACAAAGAAGATGTGAGTGAGGACCTAAAGTTTTCACATTTCATAGTTTTAGCATCTGACATGCAGATTCACTGAGCATTTCCATTTTATATAAAAAAATTTTATTATAAATATTTCATTGTTTCCGAAACCTGTTGAAAATGTCAAAATAAAGATTTAATATAAAAATGTGAAAATAAAAAGCGTTAATATGATCACGTAGGTATGTGTCCACATATTTTCTTGAGATGTTATAAGGTTCACTTTTCAAAAACTTCAACAGAATCTTAAAAATTAGGAAATCCAATGTAGGAGTAGCAAACATTAAACAAATCAAATCAAATGACTATCAGGGAGCAACAGTAAACAAAAATAATTGTAGTTTTTCAATCTTCACTAAATTTATTTGCTCTCCACGGAACGTCATTACCTTCGCTTCTGCTGAAGGCCATTCCTTGCTCGTCATACTGCACAGGTTCAATCAGCTGTTTTTTTGATTGAATAGTTACACTCCTACGAAACCTCTGCACAAATTCTTCTTCAGCACCACCACGTTGCAATGTCAATAACCTTTCTAGCAGCCGAATGAACTGCGCATACTGCAGACAATAAAAATTCATTAGAAGATGCAAGTGTAATTGCATTTGCTAAATTTTTTCTATTTTTATATACTTGATCTTTCCAATGTTGCTTTTCTTGATGAATTTTGACAGGATGACACTTGTGCACCTTCACGCTGCTTTTAAAACAGCATGCAGATGCAGCACTTTCCCTGTGCGTATTCAGTGTTCAGTCTTTTCTTTCCAGAAACAAAGAGATTTATCATTCAAAGACAAATCAATTTCTCTATATTATGATTACATGAAATTGAGATTTAAATTCATTTTCAAACAATATTTAGATAATCTTCAAGTGTAGTTTCTACTCTTTTAATAGAACTGTATCAAGAGGAGCTTCATAAATAATTTCCAGTAAGTTATGTATAATAAAATGGAAGAAGTCTGATTTTGAGAAAACGTACCTCTGAAATTATATTTCATAATACATTTGGCAAATATATCTTTAGCGGTTCAAGCTGTGTTACTTTAATGTTTATGATTTCCTTTAAAATCGAACAATCAAGCTATTTAAAAATTCAAGAGATACTTGACTTAAAGGGCAACCTCTTGAAATAAATTATCCTCGCTACTCTGTGCATTTTTTCTAATAGTTCTTAAACATGTGATTAGAAAGTAAACAACTTGGTATTAACCCCTTAAAATTAGAAGTCAGAATAATCATTCTAAAGTGTTTATGCAGAAGGAAACAACTAACACTTGAGATCCTTAGTTAATATGGAGTGTGAAACCCAATTTTTGATAACCTTATTAATGTTTTCGCCAATCCTAAAAATCATACTCATCTTTGTTACCACTGCCTTTATAGTGAAAACCTGCCAAATGAAACATATAAAAACCTCAGTAGTAAGATTAAAAAGACTGCTTCAATAACTGCCTCCTATGATGTTACAATAAAAGAAAAGGCAATCTTCTAAGTAAGGGTGAAATACTTAGCCACCTACGCGACGCAGCCTGATAAAGCTCCATGCCTTGTCTCCGTTTACAGGCCTATGTCCTTTGTTCTCAGCTATTCTCTCAATTCCATTGCATACGCTGTGACTACTGGTGAACCTACAGAGAGGTAACTACAGGTATGACATAGCCTTGCTCATGAACTAGGATTACGGCATAAGAAGTCACTGACCACCCCTACCTCCCTCATCTTGATACCAGCCAGCAGCTTTAGGATTTCTTCTGATAGCCAGTATTCCCAAAATACAGAAGATTAATATATATTTGTTTTGTCTTTATAGCTGCACACTTGTAACAAAGTCCCCGGGATGTTTTCAAAAAAAGAGAGCAGCTGTATCATAAAAATCAAAGCAGCCAAAAAACAGAAGATGCAATGAAATGATGCATTCAATGGAGAAGCAAAGGGAGATTTTTCAGTAAGATCCAAGTGCAATAATACTGACTTGGCAGTTGGGATGTTAGAAATTAACTCCAGATCTGCCACTCACCAAATGCCTGACACCTTGGTTTAAGCAAACTGCAACTTTTCCAAATCATTAATTTATCCAATATGTTAAATGAGAAAAAAAAGAGCAATTTAAGTACATGACTGAAAATCTACATGGTGGCAAGGTACCAACAATGTTAGCCACTGCCATGGAAGAAAAACCCCTTCCTGAACAATTTACGAAATTTACCTACACTCAAACTTTCCAGAAATATCTAAATTTAGAATATCAAAATATTTAAAGCATCAAATTTCCTCTGATAATATTGACATGTATTAGAACACTGAACAAAAAAAGAATCCAATTAAGACCTAAAGCAGGGATCACAAATTTATATGATATAACATTTACCTGGAGAGCTTGTTAAAAATATGGATTTCTGGGTGACATCCTAAAAATTCTGAGGTAGGTCTGAATTTTAGGAAACTGCATTTGGCAACCAGCATTCCAAGGGATTCTAATACAGGTGGCTTTGCAGATTCCAAGATGAAAATACTGGCCTTACAGACACTGCACATAAGTATGCCAGGAAGCAGCAAATTGCATGAAGGTGGAACCATGTGCCTCATTCCTTTTCTACTTAACCTGTAATAGCTCCTTACACTTATCATTAGCTTGTAAAATTAGCTATCCGCTTTACTGAAGGAGAAGAAAAATGGCATCAGCCACACTCCCTAGAACAACTGGCAAGGCACACAGGGGCACTTACATCAAGAGGGTCTAGAGACCAGGCATGCCACCCTCCTGACCACAGATAAGGCCCGCCCACGGCAGAAATCCACCATAAATACATCTGAAAAAGGAAAACTGCCTTAGGAACACCTGCCTCTGAGGAACACGACTATTAGGATCCTAACTACAGCAACTGTCTGCATTCTTAAGGCACAGGTCCCCTCAAATTAAAAAGATTAATTACTCACATCTTGATCTGACAGTTTCTCCACTAATATTTCTTCTAGTTCCTCCTTAATCAGCCATCTGCTGCCAATCAGGTCTCTGTTAAAATATCACACATATTCCCTTTTCAATTAACCATGCAATTAAGAGTTATATCACAAAAGATCCCATGTGGAGTAGAGATTCTTGATTCAGAAACAAATTTTTGTATTATATAGCTGTAAAATTTCATTCAAGTAAACAATTTTTGAGACATATTATTTCATTTTCCCAATCTACTTTAGAAAAGATACCCTGTGTAGTAAACGTTTTGTTTGAAGAGTTAAACATGCCATTGTGGAACTCATTTGATATTAAAAGTCACCAGATTTCTTAACAATTGAAACTGCACTTGTTTTTCATAATTTACTTCAAAGGAGATGTTATGGACACAAAGTTACTCTATCAATGGACTAAAGTAATATTAAAGTCCAAATAAAGGGCTAGGCGTAGTATTTAGAACTTAAACGAGGTAGGCTCAAAGACTTGGGTCCTTTACCCAAGAAGAAATAGGTGAATAACCAGGCCAAAATTTAAAACCGGTTGCTCAGGTTGATGGATCTATCTATCACTGTTTGCCAAATGGAAGCACAAACCTCGAAATACCAAAAAAAATTAAAGCAGGTAAATGTTAACTAAATATACACTTATATACACAAAAATTCCAAGGACATCATATTCAAATACAGTAATTAGATGCCATTTAAAATATAAATCTGAAATGAAGCGATATAAAAATAATAACCTTAACATTTACTTCCTCCCAAAGGAAAAAAACTCACCTACTATTTTGACCCCTAATTTTAATGATTAATGGTGAAATACTGAACAAAGTTTTAGGCTTTAAGTATGCCTAAAACCCAACAATGATAAGTGGCATGTTTTTAGTTCAAACTTTTCATATATTTCAATGCAAAAAAAACCAACTTACTTGGTTTTAGTTTTTTCTGAAAACAGACCTTGAGCTCGCAATTGATTTTGATGTTTTTCTACATCTAGTATCTTTCCATATGCTTCCTATGGCAAATAAAATACACATGCTAAAATAAGACACAGGACATTACTTTTATTTTGTATTTTCCCTTGTGTACCTCTCATTTCGAAAGTGACCTCCTCAAATAATCTCACTACGCAGTAAACAATATACTGAAAATGCTCTTTAATAATACTATTTTTCAAACTAACGAATGGTAATGTCAATGAGAATTTAGTATCATACGTAGTAGCACACAACTCCAACTGAGTTTTAAATAATTCTATAAAAAATTTACAACTCCAATGAGGTTGGTAAAAACAAAACAAAGCTACAAACTATTTTCCTAAGAGTTCCACAAACAGGACTGAAAATTTTCCTTAAAAAAAAATCATAATTTATATAGCAATATGCCTTTAAAATTAGAGAATTACCCATTAAAAATTATGGTATTTATAGCTGAAGTACTTATCTAATATTTTTATCATAATATTTAAGTCCTCACCACGTAGTTTGTGTCTTAAGGACAGTTTACTATTTGATTTATTTTTCATAATTTGATTTCTTTCTATTAATTTACTTTCTAACAAAGTCTGTGAGTGTCTGTCACTTGTTAAATTGTAATGCAAGTCAGGGAAAATTTGCCATTTTGTTAGAACTTGTAAAAAGCAATAATCTGGCAATAAAGGTTATCAGTGAAATACATTTTCTAGGAAACGAGTTTATAACAAGCAGAATAATACAAATTGTCTCCCAATATTTCTGACTGAGCAAACAATCATTTGAGGACTCCACATTCAATATGCGTGCACTCACTCACAATTTACACATGATCTACCATACTTATACCTAACGAACAAATAGACAGTTTTAAAGGATAAGCTAGAGATGATATAAATGACATATTTTCTTGCTAATCTTGACACCTTCCAATATCATTAGCTAATGTTGGAAGACTCAACTTGCTACTGATAGAGATGTCCATCCATGTCTCAAACAGTCTTAATTAATAATTTCCAGTTTTTGGGGGCAACTTGTCCTGGGCTCTGATTAGACTGCCACATTAGATCACAATGTTGCTGATAAAGAGTTAGTATTAAGAATAGAAGGGTCCCTTTGCCACTGTCTTTGTATTTACCAGTGCTTGCATTTTATTATTATCTTCATTCTGCAACCTCTTTTCAGGAATCCATTTCTCTCATGGGAAAAAAGAATGTAAGAAAAGAAGATATACAGCCTCAGCCTTTGAGTTGCATCAATATAGGTGAGAAAAGCTGGATTATACTCAATGGGCTAGGACTTCTTAGTGAGACAGGATGTAAAAGTTCATTTCTTGTGGCTGTGGAGACGCATTAAGAGCATTTTTTGTTTCGTTTTTCAATAAGGGCAGTAGAATTGATAGCTTAGAAGAGACAAAGAAGCAAAGAGAAAAAAAAGAGAAGCAGCACTTGGAAGCTACAAAACTGGGGCTGAGCTACAGACCCTCCCAGTAGACAGGAAACAATCTCCAGCTGAGTGATTCTAAAGATAAGTTCCCAGGGTGGCCAGCAGCAGCATCCAAGCCTGGAACTGGTGAGTCTAGCCCCACCCAGACTTTCTAAAGAGGAACCTCTAGGGTGGGGCCCAGTAATCTGTTTTAACGATGCTCCCAAGTAATGCACACTAAAGTGTGGAGCTAAACACCAGAACTACAGGGAGTCTAGTTCAACACAACAGCAAAGTGACAAGTTCAGTTCATTCTAACGTCCATATTAAGTATAACTATCTCTACAACTACATTCAAAGTACAAATCCATCACCTATAGCAGCAGAAAAACATATCTGACAATTTAAAACAACAACTGTCCACTTTAAGGAAAGCAAGAACCAACGTGAACCATACACATACAGAATATATCCCTGCTATTCAACTTCAAATAAAATTTTACAATCTGTCTCCCAAGAACTGGTAAGCCTCATTTGACTGCTTGCAGTTAGGGTATTTTTTAACTCATTTTTAAAGGCTAAGATAGTGGGTTGTGACCCCAACTGGATAGTGTATCAGAAAAATTTCTAACTCTGTTCTAAAAAGCAATTCCCAAGTGCTGTGAAGAGGGACAATAAGAACCCCCACAAAATGAATCCTCCCCTACTTGTACGAAGTGGACAGGCACAGCACAAACAGCATCTCACTGTGCACCCAGCACTGGCCCATCAGCAGGCTGGGCCTCAGCCAGACTGTGACATCTGGGGACTCTGGGGAAAGAAAGGCATCAGTCTCTCAGCTGGTCTGCTCCAGAGCCTGAGATTCTAAGAGCGCATAAGTCAGAGATGTTCTATCTTTCCAATCTAGTTGGGAAAATATGAATCCAAGAGAACACCAACAACAGCAATCACATACCCTCCCCTGCTTGTAAGGGTCTATCTAATTTTCTGAAATAACCAAGGCCACTAAAATAAAGATAACTCACCTGCTTCTAGATAAATTTCAAGACAGTTTGTGCTGCTAAATTCATCATCATTTTCCAGCAACTTTTGAGCAATTTTTATTTTAAATCCATATTTTTCTTAAAATTTTCTTTTACTATGTTATTATCTTCCAGTGTTATATTTAGCTCCATAATAATTTATAAATAGTGCAAGTAAAATAATCAGAAAAAATGTGGAACGTGAAAAACTCATGTCAAATTTCAAACACGGTAAATTCTATTCATTTACCACAAATGCATACATTTTGACAGTTGTAATCCATCAAATTATATAATATAATGCTCATTAAGCCACCCCACACACTTCTGTAAATAGGAAAATATATGTAAAGTATTTAGCACAGTGCCTGACCTACAGTAATGGTCAAGAAATGATAGCCGGGGTGAGATATGGCATTCAAGAAGCAAATAACTCAAACAAGTTTATTGGTGCACCATTTCTATTTTTCTTTCTCTTCCACATAATAAAACTACTCTTGAGATTCTATCTTGGTTAGTTAGAGAGAATGGTTCTCTGGAAAGTAGATTCTATAGCTTCAACTCCCTGAAGAGATGTGTACTAATTTATATCAAAAAATCCTTGAGGGTATAAAATATGCCAGAAACTGTCAACATCACAGATTATCACTGGTAGCTTCTAGTACATTGTTAAGTTTCCATCTAATTTTTAAGGGACACAAGAGGATTAGCATGATCTCACCTACACTAAGTTTATATACTGTATTTAATAGTATAATTTTCAAATATGACAGGAATAACCCAGATGTGAAACGCTGAATCATTAATCACAGCTATGATTAATATTTCATAAAATCAAAGCAAACCTATCCACCCCTCATGTCATCAGATTTCCATAATGTATGAGTCAAATTTAGAATGTGCCTAATTTGAAAATACCAGATGCTAAGGTTGCAGAAAAGAAATGCTTAAACTAAACCCTTCTAAGAGCATGAGCAATGTGATTTTTGGACTAAAATTGTGATTTTAGTAATCTAAAATCTGTTTTGGTTATACTAATCACGTAGAAATACTAATTTTAGAAAGGGTAAACAAGTAACACTTCTTGGGAGGGTAGTAAAGGAAGAGTCAACTGTATTTTGATATACAAAATATACAATAACGAACTAATAATCATCGTCATCTTAGATACTAGTTCAATAACAGAAAAGTAACTGACTTAAAATATGTATTTGGTAAAAAAAATAAATAAATCACAGAAAATCAATTTCCTAAATAATAATCTTATCAATTTTTTGGCTAGTTGTGTATACAAAATCAAATGAAATAAATATAATTCATTTACCATGGTTTACTTAAAATTCCAAGTGACATACTTCTATTGTAGACCTTTGTTATCACTTTGTGAATACAATATGCTATATAGTTTATATATCATGTAATGCTATTCAACATAAAAAGGGAAATAGTCTCACATATAGGTCATATAGAAAAGAACTCTGGGAAAGGGCACACCCAGGGGTAATTACGTAAAAGTGCTTGTAACTCAGATGCTATCTATTTTTACTATTCAAATTAACATTCCATCATATAACAACAATTATACCACTATAAAAGAAGTAATCTGATTAAAATCAACAGAGGCAATAAGTTGAATTAATTTTTAAGAACTAATTTTCCTAATTCTTGCACTTAGAACATACAAGGTATACAGTGGCAACTATTCATATATGAGGAAAATGTATATTAAAGATACTTCTAGAACAGCAATTTCTATTGGTGAATTCATTCCTGTTGTCAAGAAAAGTCTTGAAACAGCATGTGGATGTATGTCAGCACTAGTCTGTAGCTTTCTAAAAATAAGCACTTTACATAGTTGTAGAGCAGTTATTTCACAATACCTCACTGTGAGAAGGGTCACTATTTTAATTGTGTCTTTAAAGATAACAGCACTACACCAGGAGTTTCAAATACTCACCACAAGGTTACAAAGAAGATACAAACTAAGCCAGAATTCTGTGATTCTAAGTCCTCAGGACTTTTTCCTGTTGAGTCTGGAATCTTCGTGTCCTGAAGCTGCACACTTCCCCGGGGGCTGCTGTTCTCCAGTTTCACGAACACACAAGGTTACTTACTTAAGTCGTTTAAAATAAACTGGAGAATTTCTAAATAAGCCAGGAGCTTCCTTCAAAGGCAAATGAATTCTACTTATGCATAAGTTGATCACAATTAGATTAAGTGGTTTCTTTCATATCTTAAACTTATTTTTCCAATTCGGCAGAATAATTTAAGTACATAATGATCTACTTATTCCTTAATTTTATACTATTTTTGGGTAAAAATTTCATCCGTGGCCATTTAATTCCTTTAATTTATAAAAATATTTTGAAAATACTCCATTGTTTACTGTAAAACTGGTCTTAAAACATAAACGAGGTTTCTATAAGATGCCAAATTTCCAGTGGAGTTTTTAGAGATGCATAACCTTACCTTAAAGACTCGGGTGGAGGGAGTTTATGCAAAATTTCAATAAGCGCTTAATGTATTTGACAACTTACAGTGTATTCAATATTCTACACAGTCACGTGCTGATGGATTGACTCCATAAAGGAAGCCAGAGGCAAGAGTCTACAGAAGCTGAGTAGATCTGTTGATGTCAGGACACTGTGGATATCACTCATTCGCAGGGTTACCAGGAGCCAGAGCCAACTTGATGGCACGGAACAACATGTGCTGAATACATTCGATCAACAACGGACCGCATACGTCATGGTAGTCCCATAAGATTAGTACCATACAGCTTAGGTGTGTAGTAGGCTACACCATCTAGGTTTGTGCAAGTACACTTTATGATGTTCGCACATCAACAAAATCGCCTAATGACACATTTCTCAGCACGTATGCCCGTGGTTAGCTGACACACGACTGTACAGCCTTTCCCAAGCACTGGTTTCACAGGACATTAAAGGTGTTCTCGGTAGGAAGGGTTCCATGATCCAAAATATTTGAGCAGCAGCAGGTTAATGCAATGGTTTCTTCACTGAAGGACTTCAAGGAGCTTCTATCATGTCAATAGGTATCTCCTTATTAGAGTTTCCCAGTAGGCAATATGCAGCATTCCCAAACTAGCTTAATTTCAGAGACCCTTTCTCGAAGGATCTTTTATAATCTGTGTTCCTCAGAAAGCACTTTGGGAAAGCTGCATTATAAACATGTCTGACTTAATGAATCATATTTTACAAAAGAGTTCCCACTTCTGAGTCAAATAATCACCTCCCATAATGAGTTTGAAATAATTTTCAACACACTTTTACTAAGTGAATTTTAAATTTTTCACAAATGTATATATTAATAAAGTGAGTAAACCTGAATTAACATTGTTCTTAAAATTAAAGGACCTGTACAAACTCAACCATGAATACCCAGGTTGCAAACATTTTGCTCATGAATACAGACCACTCCTCCCCGTGCCACCAGCGTGGGCAGCCTGGACAGGCTCCAGCTGCTGTGGGCAAGGGGAACCCTTGACAGGCTAGGGGACCCAAAGCGCAGACCATCCTCTGGCCTATCCCTTAATTGGGCACACAAGGTTTTCTCTCTCATCTAGCCCTAGGCTGTTCACAACTCAGTCGTTCTATGGTATAGTATTTTCTTTTCTGCACAGATATATCTCCTCTTTAAAAATTCTTCCCTTTCCTTTATACTTTTGCTCAGTTGTTTCAGGAAACTTTTATTCTTTCTCTATTTCTTTCTTCCGCTCCTCAAACCTTAAACAGACACTCTAGATCAAGTTCTGAAAATATACAAGTTTTACTAGTTAAGCGGCTATTAAGGAAATGGAAAGCCACCCATTTTGGGTGAAAAAAGATAGATGAGCCACTGCTAAGCATGGAGCTCCCTTTTCAGTGCTTGGCAATCCTTTGGGAAGCTCCTGAAGTCTTATTTCTTCTTAAACTACTTTTTACTGTTTAAGAAATTACTTGTTAGTACTATTATATACTTTTTTCATTACATATGTACACCATATCTGCTATATTATAAACTAAATGGGTTTTGGGGCCGGCCCAGTGGCGCAGTGGTTAAGCTCGCACGTTCTGTTTTGGTGGCCCAGGGTTCCCCAGTTCGGATCCTGGGTGCGGACATGGCACCACTTGGCATGCGATGCTGTGGTAGGCGTCCCACATATAAAGTAGAGGAAGATGGGCACGGATGTTAGCTCAGGGCCAGTCTTCCTCAACAGAAAGAGGATTAGCAGCAGTTACCTCAGGGCTAATCTTCCTCAAAAAGTAAAAAAAAATGGGTTTTCACTGACTTTCCTAGGAAGCTGAAGGCATGTGTATAGGAAAACGGGAGTTCCAACTAACCTGCTAAGAAACCTTTAGAGTGTAACACGTTTACAAAGTCTGAGACTCCCATGGATCAGCAAACCACTGTATACTTTCCCATCATGCTTCATTTCTGGGCAGGGAAAATAAATTGCTTCCTTCTTCTTATCCTCATTTTCCATCAAAACCCTCCCCACTTCTCCACAAAATTGGATGGACTAACTACAGTTCAATGGGAAACAGTGTTCACTAAAGCACTGTGTCTTATCCTTAACTGTAAGCTGTATCAGGACTATCTTTTATAGTTGCTATAATGCAAAAGAGTCAGGCACTGCATCATGACGTTTTGGTCCAGATGGACCACACACTCAATGGTGGTCCCATAAGATTAGTACCATGCAGTCTAGGTGCGTCATACGCTACAGCATCTAGATTTGTCTAAGTACAATCTACAACGTTCGCACAACAACGAATTTCTCAGAACGAATCCCCGTCCTTAAATGACACGTGACTATGTATAAACTTAATATGCAAGTGGCGACCAAATACTAAAAAGATTTGGCATTATTATAGAAGACAAAAAGAAAAGTCTCCTGGCAGAACTGCACACATGCTCTACATCTATGTTTTTTTGTCAAAAAGCTTGGCCGCTGACTGCCATAGCCTCACATAACCAGAGCTGGTCAACGCCGGGAAAAACTGAGTTTGGCTTGGGGTCTTTTACCCTGTCACTTGGGAAGAATTTATCAACAAAAAGAAACTAACAACACTGACTCATTTCCAAGTATTTACCGCCAGCCACAGTCTTTGTGGGGCCACTCCCTTGCTCCAGTGGGGTGGCAGGAGGGGAATCCCTCTCACGCAGAATGGAAGAGCACCCCCACAACAAGAGAAGACAGAACAAAAGAGAGAGCAAACACAGGAAGCAATTTCAAGTTGTATCGTTTCACTTCACAGGCAATGCCTGACTGCACTACAAAACCACTGTGTCAGCTGAACAGCGAATATTTAGTCACACACTATTCCAAACTAACAAACAGTTTCTAGGATGATGTTGATTTGCATCATCTAGGAAATGAGACTGGTATTACTACACTTGTAATAAATAACATTTGCCATACAAAGTGACTGGCATATATTTAGGAAAACATTTATCCTTTTTTGCATATATATAATTACTTTAAAATTCCATAAAAAGCATTTTTAAAAATACAAGGTCTTATTAATTATCTCAGTTAAAATGCTCAAGTTAACCCCAAATCTCTGTAATTCATACATGTAAACTGTTCTGATGAGCAATATAACAAATGCTAAACCCCACACTGTTTGGGGAGTCAAAACACACAACAAAATAAATTGACCTAAATGACTGAGTTTAACTAAAACACAAAAGACCAAAGAATTCTACTATATGTAACAGAAACTATGTTGCTCAAAAAGAAAGAATGTTTATTAATCAGATGTAATTTGACATTTTAGTCAGAATACGGTAGTATGTTATCCACTGAGAAAGCAACCAATTTCTCGAGTAATATCTTTTAAAACATATAAAAGAACTAAAAACAAAGTTAGGCCTCTTACACAATGTGTAATTTCTTCATTATGATGGAATGCAACAAAATATCTTGCCCTTGGGTTGCTCAGTTTCAGCCAAAACAAATGCAAATGGCTTGTCGGATGACAGCTGTTTGATAAGGCTCCTCTACAAGACCTGCATGCTTTACTTTTTTCCGTGAAACTTGGGATGAAAGGCAGAAGGCAGGAAGAGAATTAATGTAGCATACAGTCTAAAGGCAATGCTACAACCGTGATTAAGTAGAAAAGTTAAAAGGCACAGATTTTCCACAGCTTCGCTGCGTGCAACCCATCCGTGTAACAAGTTGACAGGCCTAGCGCGTCTGCTCCATCATCCCCTCCGACAGCTAAAACGCAGCATTGCATCCCTTTTCAGAGAAAATTTGCGTCTGCACCATGAAGCGTTGTACATTATTTCTTAGCACTGCAGGGGGCTCAAGTCCATATGGAACCTTCACAAATATTACCACAGATCAAACCAGCAGCGTTTGGAGGCAGATTTGACATCCCTATTTAAATGAACAGCAGGGGTCCTCGGGCAGCCTAGGGCGTGCGGAGAGAACCTCGGCAGAAAGCCTGAGCCGCAGCTCCATTACTCAGCAAAGACACACTCTCCATTTATCATTCATTTCATTTATGCCAGGGCAAGAAGCTCATTTGCCCAAGGTCAACAAAAAGCGAAAAGAAGGTTTTCTTTTTTTTCCCCAAGAAATAAATGTACCTGACAAGTGGGGATTTTGTCCTTTGGGTTTGCAGAGCACAAATAAACACTAAAAACTATAGTAAATGTGTCCAGGGGATTCAAGCAACCTGAAATCTTGACTGTGGACGAGGGAAGCCCAGTGAAGATTTCTGTAACTTTCATAAATCATAGAATGAATACAATAAAACTTGACATCACAGTCTAAAAATAAAATGTGTTCTGTTGTTTAAAACTGGATATTAGCATCCAGGCTTTTTTTCATAGTAACTTTAGGAAACTCCCAAATGTGCAGCTATCAAACACTTACGGCTCTGAAATAAAAAAAAAATTATTCCTAGTACACTTAAATGCAGTTGGAAGTGAAAGTGTAATAAAATCATTTCTTAGGTCTTTTTTGGGCCCAAATTCTAGACTCACATACTGCATTAGCCTATGAAAAGCAAAAATTGTATACGAATAACAAAAAGTACAAAAAAGCATTTGACTGTCTCCCAAGGTCAGTGCTTTATAGCCCCTGACAGCATTACACACTCAGCCCCCTTTCCTGCTTCACATCTTACCTAGGGTGCAAGTACATGCACTAAAATTGAGCTGAACATCCATCTCTCAACATGATCTCAATTTGTAAATAAAAGCACTTTAAGGACAAACCATTCTGATATAAGTTGTATAATGTTTACCTTTAGCAAAAAAATGAATTAAAATATGAAGCTTCTAACATACTATTTTACCTCCAGAAGTCTTATTTTGGTCTATTAAGACACATCCTAGGTAAACTCTGAAGCTGAGTGAAATCTCTGGTATAATTAATTACTTAGCTTACAGTTCATATTATTTACCCTAAATATAATATACTCACATGCATTAATGAATAATATGATGGTTTGCCAGTATAAAAGAGAAAATGAAACGGACGACCATCTTCTCCCCACTGGATTGCTAAGAAAAAGCGAGATGAAAACAAACAAACAAAATAAACAAAAATAAACATATACGGAGACCAAATAGCTGTATTTAATTGCAGTTCTGAGACACATTTACAGTTCTGATTAACTTTTAAAATAACAAACAAATTTTAATATTTAAAATTTTAATAGCATGTTTAACATGAAAATATTTGATATTTAATATTTCACACCGATTAACATAAAACAATGTTTACATTTGATAAAACATTCCTAAATAATTCACCATGAAAATTTTTATAATTTGTTTTAAATAAAAATACATAAAATAGCCAACATCATCTTGTTAGAACAAAAAAATTTGTTTGGCTGTAAATACAATGCACTCTCATACTCTTAAAAAGAGAAACTGATAAAGTCAATTATGTAGTACATTCAGGAAATTAGAAACAAGCATAATAAAACAAAGAAAAAAACAAAATAGATTATTCCATGCCACATTATTTGTTTCAACTCTGTGGTGACACATCTCGGAGAGTTTAAAATGTCTAAAACAGAAGGGGCCCCAAAAAGGCGTTGTGTAATTCCTTTTGAAATACAGACGGTCATTCACATCTAATAAACACCAAACAAATTGAGAAATGGAGTCACTGCAGTAAATAAACAACACTAACTCTTTGTCCTTTGCCCATATTCTTATTGTTTCTGTGTTAACAATTTGTAGGAACTCTAACACATGAAAGATTACACTCCTCTGTCCGCTACCTAAGCTGTAAACTATTTTCTCCCAGTCTATCACTTGTCTTTGTTTATGTTGTCTTTCCTGATTGAGAAGCTTTAAAATATATGTATATAGTAGAATATGTCACTTTTCCTTCATGGCAGTGTTTCTCAACTGTTTTTTCATTATTCTCTCCTAAGGAGCCTTTTTAGACATTTTTTCCCTATTTGCCTCCCTTCCCGTGAAATTTGAGTATCACAGATATACCACAAATCTGTTGATGTACACTGCGGCCCTCTGGAGGGCCACGTTGTAATAGCTAAGTTTTTTTTTCACCTCCTATGAACCAGTTTACATCCCCTTGGAGGCAACATCACCCCCATTGAGAAAGCATGCTTTAAGAGTTTGGGCTTTCTAAAAACTATATTTTCTTCTGAAATTTTTATTTGTTTTCATGTTCAGAAATTTTATCTGAAATTTACGTTTATGAGGCAGAAATCCAAGTATTATTTTCTCCAGCAAAGAGAGTCATTATCCCATTACACTTTTTTGAATACTACACTCGTCTGTTAAAATACCACCTGTACCAAATACGTAGGTTATCTTTCACTCCTGAGGATAACTGGCATTACGGAGCCAACTTTAAGTGAATACACTTAAAATGAAAACCAAAATTAAATAATAAATGGCGAAAAAAAAGTCTTGATAGAGAGTTTATCTTGAAAAATAAAACCAGATTCTTATTTGCCAATGGCTTTTGGATGAATTACATAGCTCTCCAACATCATTTTCATAAACTTCATGAAATCCTAGATATTTTCCATTCTCTATAACTGTACCATGCACTCAATTTTCACTGCATTGTTAAGGTAGTCAGTTAGAAAGTGACCAACAAAGGTGAACCTCATGGTCACAGACAAGACTCTCCTGTAAAACTGAGAGGGATTTTTGAGTTGGGTCTCATTTTATGTGTGTGAGTATATTTGATTTTGTAATGTATGCATGTATACGCATATATATGTACTTGATTTCACTCAATCTAAGACGTCACAGATTTTAAGAAGCCCCATCATGCATGTTATGCAAAGAAAGAAAGCAAGCAGATGGTAATCAATGTAATTAATTTTAAAACGAATCTTGTTGTCAAAGATAAAATTGGAAAAACTGTGTCTTAGAATTCACAAAACATGGAAACAGACATACGGTGACGCTCAATACTCTAATCTAGTCCACTGGTCAGTCTGTCTATTCTGCACTACTATCACCATTTATTTAAAATCAGCTTTTTGCTGCATTTTGATACTTGGTGAGGTAAGCTTCCTTCATTATTCTTCTTTTAAAAAATTTCCTGCTTCTTGTACATTTACTCTTTTAAATATATTTCATATGTTTCTCCCCAATTTGACTGAAATTCTACCAGATTTATTAATAATTAAAAAAAATTAGGAACTTTGCAGTATTATCTGTCCTTAAGGAACATGAAATCTTTTTTTTCCAGCTATTCAGATTTTCACTTATGATCTTTAAGTTTTATAATTTTCTATATAAATCTCTTACATATTTTTGTAAGTTTTATTCATATTTTAGTTTTTGTTGCTCTTGATACTGCCCCCTCAGTTATCTATGTTTTCTATAAAATTAACTTTAACTACACAAGTAATACAATCTTCTTTTATTTTTTTAATAGATTTATTTTTACAGCAATTTAAGGTTCACAGCAAAATTGAGAGGAAGGTGCAGAAACTTCCCATATGCTCCTGCCCCCACACCTGCATTGCCACCTCTATTACCAATATCCTCCACCAGAGGGTATTATTTGTTACAAGCGATGAATCTATACTGACAAACCATAATCAAAATCCAGTTTACACTAGAGTTTAGGTCACCCTTGTTGGAGTACATTTATGGGTTTGGACAAAGTTATAATGACATGTATCCACTATTATAGTGTCATTCAGAGTAGTTTCACTGCCCTAAAAATTCTCTGTGCTCCAACTGTTCATTCCTCCCTCCCTGCTAACCCCTGCTGACCACTAGCCTTTTTACTGGCTCCACAGTTGTGCCTCTTCTAGAATGTCATAAGTAGTTGGAATCATACAATATGTAGCCATTTCAGATTGGTTTCTTTCACTTAGTAATAGGCATTTAAGGTTCCCTCATGTCTTTTCACGTCTTGAAAGCTTATTTCTTTTTAGCACTGAATAATTTTCCATTGTCTAAATGTGCCACAGTTTATCCATTCACCTACTGAAGGACATCGTGGTTACTTCCAAGTTTGGGCAATTATGAATAAAGCTGCTATAAACATCTGTGTGCAGGTTTCTGCGTGGACATAAGTTTTCATCTCCTTTGGGTAAATACCAAGGACAGCAACCACTTGATCATAAGGTAAGGGTATGTTTAGTTTTGTAAGAAATCACCAAAATGTCTTCCAAAGTGGCTGAACCACTTTGCATTCCCACCGGCAATGAATGAGAGGTCCTGTTGCCCCACATCCTCATCAGAAATTGGTGTTGTCCATGTTCTGGATTTTGGCTATTATAATGGGTATGTAGCAGTATCTCACTGCTGTTTTAATTTGCATTTCCCTGATGTGGATTGTATTTTCTTAAGCTTATTTGCCATTGGTACCATCTTCTCTGGTGAGGTGTCAAAGTTTTTGGACCATTTTTAAATCCATTTGCTTCTTTTCTTACTGCTGTGTTTTAACAGTTCTTTGTATGTTTTGGATAACAGTCCTTTATCAGATATGTCTTCTCCAACTACTTTCTACCATTCTGTGGCTTGTCTTTTCATTCTCTTGACAATGTCTTTCACGGAGCAAAATTTTTATTGACAATGTCTTTCAAAGAGCAAAAATTTTTAATTTTAATGAAATCCAGCTTATCAATTCTTTCTTGCACAGATCATGGCTTCAGTGTTGCATCTAGAAAGCCATGGCCAGGGGCCAGCCCCGTGGTTAGAGTTTCACGCACTCCGCTTCAATGGCCCAGGTTTGCAGGTTTGGATCCCGGGTGTGGACCTACTCCACTCATCAGCCATGCTGTGGAGGCATCCCATATACAACGTGGAGGAAGACTGGCATGGATATTAGCCCAGAGCTAATTTTCCTTAAGCAAAAAAAAGATGAGGATTGGCAACGGATGTTAGCTCAAGGTGAATCTTCCTCACACACATACAAAAACAGCCATCACGAAACCCAAGGTCTTCTAGGTTATTAATTACTGATTTAACTTCTTTAATAGATATAGGCTTATTCAAATCATCTACTTCTTGGGTAAGTTTTGGTAGATTATGTCTTTCAAGAAGTTAGTCCATTTCATCTAGGTTATCAAATTTGTGGGCATAGAGCTGTCCGTAGTATTCCTTGATTATTCTTTTAATGTCCATGGGATCTGTGGCAGTGTCCCCTCTTGCATTTCTGATATTAGTAATTTGTGTCCTCACTCCTTTTTTTTTTTAAGTTAGCCTGGCTAGAGGTTTATTGATTTTATTGATTTTTTCCAAAGAAACAGCTTTTTGTTTTGTTGATTTTCTCCAGTGATTTCCTATTTCCAATTTCACTGATTTCTGCTCTAATTTTTATTATTTCTTTTCTTCTGCCTACCTTGGATTTAATTTTCTCTTCTTTTTCTAGTTTCCTAAGATGGAAGCTTGGATGACTGATCTTAGATCGTTCTTCTTTTCCCATACATGCATTCAGTGCTATAAATTTCCCTCTAAGAACTGCTTTTGCCCACTCTTCTTACAAAGATTAAATATTAGAATTCCCTTGCTAGAGGCAAGGTTAGAGTTTATTATTCTGGACTCTTTTGGTGCATTTACATATGTATATGTGCTGAAATATAGGGGACTGTTTGCATGTTTTTTAAAAACGCAAATGGTATTAAGCTATATTTACACTACATACTTGCTGTAGGCTGAATGTTTGCGTCCTCCTCAAAATTCATATTTTGGAACCTAATCCCTAATGTGTTGGTATTTAGATGTGGGGCCTTAAGGAGATGATTAGTGCCCTCATAAAAGGAACCCCAGAGAGCTCCCTGGTCCCTTCCAACATGTGAGGACACAGGGGAAGACAGCTGTCTATGAACCAGGAAGCAGGCTCTCACCAGACGTCGAATCTGCTGGTGACTTGATCTTGGATTTCCCAGCCTCCAGAACTGTGAGAAACAAATTTCTGCTGTTTGTAAGCCACCCAGGGCATCGTAATCTGAATGGACTAAGATGATATTATGCAATTTTTACCTGCTTTTCCCACCCAACAATGTGTTTCATCTGTACTAATATAATGAGAACTACCTCACTCTTTT